ATCAGCAAGCCGCTGTCGGCAGTGCAGAAGGTCACTATGGTGTCCAGCGGCAGCTCAGAGGTGGGAGCATCCAAATTTGCTGGAGAGGTGCTAGATATCATGACCAGGCTGCCTACTGTTGTGGAGAAACTCACCGGTGTTGACATCACCCAGGTACGCTGGCGTGTATGTGAAAGACAAATAGATAATGTATGAGAGTGAACAACTGGTGCACGTGGTGTAATGATCTCATTTTCTCACTGACTTCACAGACTGCAGGGAAGACCTCCCGTGTGCGTTAAGAAGAAAGGAATAATCAGGAGAGGCGTCGCCAATATTCAGACTTAAGAGCTTCACTTTTCCTCCTTGTGCCTATAACAACAGAACTCTGCAACACCATAGTCCTCACTGATTGTCTGTGTGCATGCATGTTGTCTCTTTAGATGGATCTACCTCCATCAGAACACGATGGGATGTTCTTCCCCTGTTATGTGATTTCCTTTCATGTCCCTGAGCTGGTCTGTTGTGTTGGTGTATTTCGTGACACAAAAAGCAGCTGCAAGGGGTTTGATTTTTGACAGAACTGCTTTTTTGACCTGACTGAGATGAAAGCCTCAGCGCACTTGAGCCATTTATTGTACAAGTAGAAATTCATCCGTTTGTCCTTTTATACCCGACCCTCAGTATGCAAGTTTTTACTTATTGCAGTCAGTCTCGTTCTCCCTGCATAGGGTCATGAAACCTTCTTTCCTCACTTTTTAATATAGAAAATTTTCATTATATTTTAGATAATTTCCTGTGCCTTTCAATTCATAAAATGCTGCTGAGCTCTTTAATCACAGCATCATTTTGTGTGTGGGGGGGCATTGTATGTCAGTGTAGTTGTATACCATTTACTTAGCACAGCCTAGCTTTGTGTATATTTGCTCTTTGTCCACTTGTTAATTACGAAGAGACAAAGCTGGTGTGTTGCTAGTTTATAGTAACTAACTACATGACAGAGCCAGATATATCAGTTGTACACAAAGAGGAAGGATTTTCTTTGCACCAGAATGAAGGCAGAGGAAGTGGGAGTATATCATAGTAGTTTCCTGTTGAGAACAATGTAAGTATGCAAATGTATGTTGTGGTGGAGGGAAAAAAAAAAACAATGCTGACTTTTGTCTTTGCTGTAGTGTCTTCAGGAATCTTGGCCTTGACATAGGAAGGCTGACAAAGGACCATCACCAAGTTAACAAACCAGCTTGCTGCTTTAATGTGGTTGCTGTCTGGATGATATACTCGCACACAGAAGACAGGATTTTTGTTGTACTGATTTTCTGTTTTAAAGTTGACACTGGGTATTATAGGATACGTTTGATTTTTAGGTCTTGTTGCTGAACGACACTGCATTACCTCTGTTCAGAAGCGAGGAGGCCAGTTTCTACTTTTTTTTTTTTTCCAGACTCTTCACTAAGTGTCCAAAGTTTTTCTAGCTGCCGAGCCTTAAGCAGTTTGTTACTACCAAGTGCCTGGTTAAAAGTCACATCCAGTTGACTATTCCAGATAAGCATATTACACATCAGTCAGGGAATATTTCCTTATATCCAACAGATCATAAGCCATTGGTTGTCACTAGCAACAGCTGGTGATAAAAGCCAACTCGGTCTCTGCTCCTTTTGTACATTCTTCTAATCTTTTACATCCCTTAAATGTGCTGCTGCATGTCTGTTCTGTTCATTTATATTAAAAGTAGTTCACAAAGTTTGAAAGTTATATTCAATATTTACCTGTAGTGAAATATTAACAATCGACAATTAAATATGGTTTAATTACTCAAGCTAACCTGTGTTTTTTTGTTTGTTTGTTTTTAAGCTGACAAGAGGTTTCACGCAGTGGAAATGTGGACCACACTTTGATTTATCTGAAAAGGTTAACTTTATTAAAACATCTACAAAAATAGACAACACAATGAATTACAATGGCATCAAGGTAGCAAGCATTCTACAGAGATTGAGAAGACCCCAAATGCAATGTTCTCCATATATTAGTAAAAGAAATTACAGTTCTGTCCAAAATATGTACATACTATAATGTTCAGCTTCAGACACAAAGGATGAGATCAGACATCGAGTAATGTCTAACTACATACAGTACACTGTATATAAAAATATGGGTTTAGTTGAACTACAGTGTATCAAAAAAGACTCAAATGGCACAACCATTCACAATCAGTAAATGCATTTCTTGATCTTGATCTGATTTACAGTGCTATACAATTAGTAAGGTAGATGCATTGATTGTACTGCTGTCAGCTTAATGTACTAATATGGAATAATGTAGAGATTGATATTGACATTAACACTAAAATCACGACTGCCAGTTCAAGCAACGCGTAACTTTTTTTAAAATACAGTAATGCATTTGGATGAGAGAAGACTATTCAGGGTAAACGCATCAACACGCTGAACATTTCAGAATTAAATGTTTCATACATTTAAAATGAGATGAACTGATATTGTCATTCTATTAAAAAAAACATTTTACATCTAATGGTTTGGTAGTGCCTTGTGGGATACGATTTAAAAAGGCAAACAGATTATACCTTTATAAAATCCGCCTGTTATGCATTTTGATCTCTCTTGGCAAGTATCTCCAAGTAAAATGCATCAGAATCCACACCCACAGGAATCATCATTCAGGTTCCTCAAAGGGAAGAGTTTCATCATTGCTGGGGGGGATATGCATGGAGGATTTAAAGTGCAGCTGGTTGCAGAATTTTACACCTAGCCTTTGTGTCTGGGTCAAAGCCAGATAGTAAAACTTGCCATTAAAAAAAAAAAAAAGCAGGTTCATCTGAAGATGTCCCTTCCACTTCCTTGGCTGGCAGTACTGCCTCTGCTTGGAAAAGCCGTGCTACTTTGTAGGTCTCACTTGCAGCAGCAGACTCCTCTTCAGTGCCTTTTTCCTCAGGTTTGAGAAGTCCATTTGGCACCAGGGATCATTTTTGTCCCTGTGGCTCAAAAACAAGGTTGGACTTCTTGAATTGGTGGTTGAGAGCAAACTCAACATTGTCTCATTGCAGTTGCTGTTGTCTGGTCCACATCATTTCACATTAGTCCACAGTAACTTAAATGTGTGGATGCAGGTCACTGTGTAAGGCTTTGGGGCTGAGACGTAAAGGATTGATGATGTGGTAAGATCTCCTGCCACCCATGTTTAACACACCTAAGTTAGCCATCAGCCATGTCTCAGTGTCAAATCCTTTCTTCTGCTTGTGTGTCAGAGAATTTAAGAAATGTCTGATTTAAATGTGTAAGGAATCTACACATATTATAAACAGTAAGACAATGTGTGTGCAGTTTCCTTTCCTTAACAGCAGGCGTTCAGTTTGTGTCATGTGCGCCTTCACCCATTAGCACACATGCAGTCTTTAAGATGCTGAATAAAGCAAGTCATGAAGCTTTACAACTGGCTGTTTTCTAGCTTGCTATGGTCATAGTTTGGACTATTTTCTTTCATTTTGCCTCTATGGTTTCCCGTATTTTCATCTGTACAGCACTTATCACTGGTCACACAAACCTTGTATGTTAAATATCTGAGAAGAGAAAAAACTCCTATGCAGTCTGCACCCACCACCAGCCACCGTGAAATGTAGCTCAAACTGTTATCCATCTAAAGCTAGGGTTAGTTTTGCCTTTGGCGTTGGGGTCTGAAGTGGAAATAAACCGATCCAGCGGTGTCTCAGCCCCATTCACCCAAAAGTACAAAATACAAAAGCGAGCAACCCACTCTCCCCTCTGTTGTGCAGCACCTCCACCACTAGCTTCCTACTGTAGCAAAGATGCACAAACATACGAGACATTTCCCATCTTTGACAATGCCGTTCTTCTAAAGTTCCCCTGACTGTCTCTTTACACCATGTTCATGGCATCCTCAGTGAGAAAGGAGTGGATGTAGGCGAAGGACGGGCGAAGTTTGCAGTCTCTGTTCCAGCAGCTTGACATGAGCTCATAGAGACCCTGGGGACACACGGCTGGCCTGCTCAGATATACCTGGAGGCCAGAGAGAAGGAGACGGGTGTATGGAAATTAGGATGAGTTTGACCTTTTCCATACTCTTTATTGCATTTTCATGCCCTGATAAAGGTCACCAAGACCAATCGTTGAGATGTAAACACAGCAAACATAAAACACTGTGTTTTTATTAATTATAATAATAGTTCTACAAGATATTGGTATAAGAGATTGTCTTTAAGTCAAAATGAGTGCAAGTTATAACACTGGTTTTTAGTCGTTAGGCGAGTTTGATCATTTGTAGCCAGTATTATATTGCAAAGGCCCAATGTACAACTATTTCAAGACAGCAAAGGGCAGCCGTTTGGTACCCCTGCCTCTGTGCTGAATGTGTGCATTTCTGTGTGATGTACCTGTCTGCCCTGGTCTCTGAAGAACTCCCCAGCGTTGTCAATGACTTGTTCATCAGTGAGGGTGGAGTACGGCTGCTCGTGACAAACGCTCAGCATCTCCCACAGAGTGACCCCGAACGCCCACACATCGCTGGCTGTGGTGAACTTGCCCTTGAAACACACAAACACAGACCAACTTTAAAAAAAAATCATTTAAAACTAAAAGACAACAAAAATAGGAAGTACACTCTGGTGAGCTGCTGACTACGCACCAGAATTACTTTAAGTTACAAAAACACAAGAAATGGTAAAATGAAACACAAATTGGTATTTTGTAATGGAGACTGTATATTTAAGATGCAATTTTTCACCTGGATTTGAGTACAATTTATTTTTTGATCAAAATTTCACTTATTTGTTAAGTGTTCCTGCATCATTTCAAATATTTTTGTTTACAACAAAAAAAATAATGAAATAGGTATCAATATAAATGAATATATAACAGATTCTAATCAAAACTCCTGCACACACACTCCTCACCATGAGTATACACTCCCAGGCCATCCAGCGTATTGGTAGCACAGCTCTGCCCTGGATCCTGTAGTAATCTCCAGCATACAAGTTCCTGCTCATACCAAAATCGGCTATCTTAATGTGACGCTCACCACCCTGATCCTCTGAGCTCTCACCCCTCTCACCCCCAACCAGACAGTTACGTGTGGCCAGATCCCGGTGCACAAAATTGAGGGACGAGAGGAACTTCATTCCTGATGCAATCTGGCTGGCCATAGATATAAGGGCAGGATAACTGTGGGAAAAGATGACAGGCAGAGGGAGCGCTAAATAAATCTAAACTTTGTGTACATTTACATCTGTGTACTGTATGTGTGTGAATATCGATACCTGATGGTCGGGATGTTTTGTGAAGGCCCCGTTTTGTCCAGAAGCACTCGGTGGGACAGATACTGGTTCAAGTCTCCGCATTCCATGTACTCAGTGACCATACAGAGGGGATCACTGCTCACACACACTCCTAGCAACCGGATGATGTTCGGATCCTTCAAGCGAGACAAGATTTTCACCTCTTTCAGGAAGTCGTTCCTGTGAGACACATCAGCAAGATGGAGGGATAGCAAAAGAGGAGGAACAGAAGCAAATAATGTGGAATCTGAGTTCCCTTAACCAGCTTCATGTTACAAAAAGTCATCAAGCAACACTTTTGATGTAACCCCTGAATCCAGTGGTGAGAGTACTCAGATTAGTTACTTAAACAAACCACAGTGCCAGAATACTCTGTTACAAGTCACTGAAAACATTGAGAACAATTACCAAAGGCAAACATACCTATAATGCATCTATGTATATAATTGGATTATAATTATTGTATATGCCACATGTAATGTTGCAGCTGATAAAGGTGGGGCTAATTTTAACTACTTTATATGCTTATAACTTGAATTACTACTGAGCAGCTTGTGAATTTCCCCACCAGGGATCAATTAAGTCTTGTGATTATACTGTATTTTGTTTTAGGCTATTATTTTGAAAAGTAACTAGTAACTAAAGTTGTCAAGTAAAAAGTACATTATTTGCCTCTAAATTGTAGTGAAGTCAAAATATGAAGTATCAGAAAATGCAAATATAGCTCAAAATTGTACTTAAGTACAGCACTTGAGTAAATGTACTTAGTTACTTTCCACCACCGCCTGAATCAAGTTAGAAGGTTACCGATTCCCTGGTGTGTAGCTCAGTGGCTCTCCACCTCATTGATTTGCTTTGCTGGTCAATATGTTTGTGCTCCTCTGGCTCTCACTCAACTCCCATATAAACCTGTGGACAGCTGCTGCTAACAAATATGCTCACACCAGAAGATTTTACCTGCCCAGCATGAAACATGTGGAGAGTCAAAGTAAACAAGTAGTTGATGAAATGAGTCAAACAGCTAGAAAACCACAGACCTGGAGATTTTTCTTAGAAGCTGATGACCTGGACCTGTGGAATATATTAGACTTGTATTTAAAAAGAAAAAAGCGCTACTCTGCTTTTGCTGGGTATTAATTAAAAACACATTACCTTTAAGGAATTGATATGTTTATATGTTATATGATGGCTGAGTGCTCTCAGTTTGCTTTGGAGAGTACCTTCTGCCTTCTAGAGGTCAAATATCAGCTGAAAATTACAATTTCAGCAGATTATTTTTGAAGCCTATTGGCTGGTACATTCCTGCAAAATCACCGATTTGTATGAATTACAACTGACCCCTACATAAAGTACAACTGAGTTCAATCTCTAGTATTCACTCTCAATAATCCATGATATTCCAGAAATCCCCTGACCACTGGGAATGCTGAAGAAACTGTTAAGTCAAGAGTGCAGGCCCAGCTTTTGTTACAAACCTGGCATTCTTAGAAGCATCTGGGCGCAGTATCTTCACTGCTACCAGAAGAGGGCGACCTTTTCTTACATTGAAGGGGAATTCCAAGTTGGGAAGGTCCTGAGGGTTCTCGATTTCACACAGGTGCACCTTTCACCACAAAAATACAGACATCTTTAAAATACAATAGCTATTCCACCCACCCACACACACACACATTTTGTTTTTCAGGTCAGTGCTCACCTCCCCAAATTGCCCCTCTCCCAGTTTCTCTTTGAAAATGAGGCACTGGCGTGGCAGCTCCGGCAGTGGGGCGGGGTCAGCACCGGGGCTCGAAGAGGCCAAGGCGGGCACAGCATAGGTGTTGTTACCACTGACACCCTGCAGGCTCACAATGTCTGCCTCAGCATAGTGGGGGACACTGGGAGGCATTGGGGGAGACACGGGGGGAGAAAGGGAAGGGTAAGGGGGGGAGCCAGGATAGGGAGGAGGCTCCTCCTGGGCTGGTGTGAAGCCCTTCTCCATGTCCAAACCACAGGCTGGAGGGAAGAGGACAGACAGGGTGGAAGAAATGGAGAGAGAAGAACTACGTGACTAGAGGCATCTTTGTTTTGCTTTATCAGTCTGTGAGTGAACAAATCAGACAATATCACTTTTTTTATAAAGAGATCATTTGGAATGGGGAAATTTTATTTGTCAGTAATCCTTTTCAAAAACATAACCAGGTTCAGCTGATCTGACCTTGTACAGAGCAGTGTCGTAGTACCCGAGTCCAGGGCTTGGACTAGAGTTTTGCAGGAATTGATCATAAAGGAAAAAGTGACAACTCTGGCTTGGTGGTGTCAAAGCCAGAGATCACTAAAGTCATTAGACTACATCCTCTGGGAACCATGAATATCAGCTCCAGATTGTGCCCCAAACCATTCTTTAGATTGTAAAATGATTTGCTCAATAAGTGAAAACTTTGACCTGCTGGTGGTGCTAGATGAAAAGTCAGGGACTTGTCAGAGTCAGGAGAATCCCTCCTCTGGACCCCATCAGTCTCCACAAAATCTCGACCAACAGACATTGCCACACCACAAGCATCTATGATTTTGTCAGATTCTTGGTAACAATTTCCCAAATCCCAAACTATCCCTTCAAACAAAGCACGAGTCATTTTGAGTGGTGAGTGAATGAGTGACTAATTACATGAGTAACAGGAGGAATGATGGTCATACACATGCAAAATAGATTAATCAGATCTGTGAAGCTTTTATTTTCACATTGACTGTGAGAGAACTAATGCCCCCAGCTCTACAGTAGATAGTTACAGGTACAGTAGATTGTTCAGGCAGGTGCCCCTCGTGACTGTGCTGGCCCAGTCTAAGGTTTCTTACCCTGGGGCACATTAAGGCTCTTTTCCTGAGTCTGGGAGGTGCTGGGGACGATTAGGGGTCTGGAGCCTTTTCTGTGATCTGACAGGAGCAGATGATAGGCTGGGTTGTTTAACAGCAAGGCTGGGAGGGCACGCACGCACACACACACACACACACACACACACACACACACACACACACGATGAGGTGGGATACACGTGGGTACCGTAATATGGATCATACACATGATACAAAGTACACACACACACACACACACAACAAAACACAATATCAGCCATTAGCATGACACTGTTAGCATATCTATTAGAATATGAGGGAGGGCTTGCATTGACACATGAAGCACAGAACAGAAGTGCAGAGCAACAACAGGCAAAGTTAACATCACTTGGGCCACAACCAAACATAACAAAAAGCAGTGGATGAAATAATGTTTCTTTTACTCATGTTATTTCAAACTCACGCAGGCATCTAGTAGAGACAGCATGCAGATCTCCTGCGGTGCAATGCAAGTGAACGAATCCATTTTTTTCCTTCACTCTTTTCTGTTCCTTCCTTTTCAGAACAATAGCTCTTTTGTGCCACCTTTGTGCAGCGCATCTTCCTGGAGGCACTCCCCCTCGTGGGGTGTTTGATTTGATTTACTATTGTTTATTGTGGTGAAATACATTGCATTACCCGTGTTTTTGTTATATGTGTGCCACATTTTCTCCTGCTGTTTCCCTATTTCTCATTCTGTTTGTCCAAATGTGTTCGCTTATTTATATGTTCACAGTTTGTAAAAGCATGAGCAATAGCATACAAACAAAGCAATCTGTACAAACCACATAAATAAATTCTGAAAGTTTGAAAAGTGGCATTGTTTTATGTACATCAGCAACTTGTGTTCTGTCATTTTTCCAATTTAAATTGATTTTTGGAACTGAACCACTCAGCTACAACAGAAAAAACAAACCTTATAACCATATCTACAAAAGCACTCCATAATTCCGAGCTGATATTTTATACGTATGCTTAGAACTTACCTGTGCTGTCCCTGTGATCCCTCGATCGGAGCAGAGCACTAGGCTCCTGGTACTCTCCTTCTCCCTCTCTGTCATGGTCAAGGTCATCAGGGAAAGTGTGTATGCGCTGGTAACGGCTTGAGCAGCTGTGGGTATTGTTGATGACCACGTTGTCCGACGGCACTGACAAGTGCACCCGCAGCTCATCGGTGGATAGACTGCCCTGGGCCTGGGACACAATGTGAACACACAAATTAAATCTCTGAAGCAGATGGTGATCAAAGTGTGGAAACAACATCTAATCCTTGAACAAGTGTGTAAAATGAGTTAGTGTAAAATGATTCCCACAAGACATCCAGATGAAGATACAGTGCTCCTTTGCCAAAAGACTGCCCATTGTTATCTCAGCCCGCTAGCAAGAATTTAAACTTGATTAAAGGGACAATTCAGCCTAATCATACAAGGAAAGTCTTTCTCAAGTTCTCACTTTGGACTGTTTATTTTGGGACATTATTTCTGAAAGAACAAGTAGATGTAGAGTTTTCCCAAATGTATCTTTTTACAGCTTTGAGTGACACAAACATATTTTCATGTACTGCCATTGTACTAGGGTGGTAACAGAAATCTCAGATGATTGGACTAATCAAAACAACACTGCATGGCTAGATACCACTTGGGGTAAATAAGAAAATACAGACAGGTGGACAATTAAAGGAAAACCCTGAACCCTGAATTCTGGTCTCTCCCAGAATGACAGTGCTCCCATTTCTAGGGCACAAGGGGTCACTGAATGGTTTGGCAAGTATGAACATGATGTGAATCATATGCTGAGACATCTTACTAAGACATTTTGTGCTGTTTTTTCCTTTAATTTATCACCTGTCTGTATGTGGAGGAACTGAATCTTTAAGATTTCTAAAAAGGAATATGCGAAACCTGCAGGTCAAGTCCAGTTACAAACAAATTACTGGCTACAAACGGCAGCTTAAAAATAAACTAAAATATTGCATATGACTTGACTCTTGCCTCACCTTGCCCAGTATCTTTTTCCAGTACTGCCTCCATAGAATGACGGCTATCACAGCCAGCAGCAGCAGGATGATGCCCACCAGGCAGCCAATCAGAATTGCTGTATTACTGCTGTCATCCTTGGCTACAGGAAGCCCCGCCCTGGGAGTCACAGCGGCAAACTCTGGCCCTAAAGATGGAAAGGAAAACAGAGAATGAGTTGTTTGTATATGTATTCTCCTTATTTCCTGAATCACATCAGTCCGATGTGATGGGTACAGAGTACTTGTGCTACACTACTTATATATGGATGTCTACGTGCTGGCATGAGGAAACGCACTGCTTGGTCTGTGACATTAGCTTTTCAGTGCAGTCACACACAACAACATAGTTTCACATAACAACTGCTTACTAAATATCTGATGGAGAATGTGTGAGTATGCATTCAGCATCCTCACTCATACCACAGGGATTCTCAAAGCCAGCTGGTTTGAGAACAGAATGTCAACGCTGTGGTCACCAGCTGTTAATCAGTATTATCCAGTTATTATTTTCTCTTCTGAAGGTCACATGTGGCATGTTATTTGAATGAAAGAGAAATATAAAAGTTTCCTCCATATCGTTTCATACACCTGCAGGCAAACACTGATACACACACATTTACCAGCCAAAGATTTACACAGATTGTTGAAAGAGAAGACGACCCACTCTGCCTCTCCCTGTCAGTTCCACTCCATGCAAAGCTGTTGAACCACAGCCAGTAATAAGGACAAAGCAGCATACATGCCACAGAAAACCATTTCCAGCTTCTTAAGTCTGTTATTGTTTAGCTCTATAGATCAGAACTAGTTCTGCATGCAGTTTGTGAAACCAGAGAAAGTCAAGTTGTTATTGTACATAAATATAATGTCCGTTAGTGTTTTTTTCCTACAGCTGTATATCTTCAAACCCAGGGGACAGAGCTCAGTGCCAAAGCCTGCCCCTGCAATCCCTCCTCCATTCTACCTCATACTCTCTACTGAGCATTAGGATAGATGTTGGAGGAGGGCCAGAGCACTGGAGCTAGCTCCCCTCCCTCGGTTCTGTCTCCTTTTCTTCGTCTCTCACCTGACAGTGTCCAATTAGCCGTGGTATCCGTCAGGAAGGAGGTGGTGGGGGGTTCTGAAGGAGTGAGGGATGGAAAAAGGAGGGATGTGTGAATAGAGAGCTGGTGAAGAAAATGAGGAAAATCATGGATGGCAAGATTCTGGCTTTTCACCCATCAACATGCAATGATTTAGACTGAGATGATGGAAAAAAAAGTCATGTTAAAACATTTGCCCTTTACTTTTAAGCCAGCTCTCTAGTGCCCTTAAAGTACAATGACATCTGAGGATCCACCGTTGACTTAGGTTCAGTGAACTGTGGCTCAAAGCCAAAGGATTTTAAAGCTCATGACAACAAGGGCGGCTGGATAAACATGGACTTCCTTTGGCAATGCCTGTCTTTTGCTCTGCTTTATGCTCACAGTCATCAAGTGGAGAGAAGGAGACTAGAACAGAGAGAAGGTGATGAGGGAGAGATCGGGAATTAGAGAGACAGGAGAAAGCAGAGAGGAGGGGCTGATGAATAATGGTGGTTGATGAAAGAGAACAAGGTAATAAGAATGGCTTGTAGAGAGAAAGATAGGGAGGGCAAAATAATGTGGGGGTGAACTGCGAGGGAATTAAGAGGTAGATGAGAGGAGGAAGGCTCACCAGAAGGCCCGGTGGTGGTGCTGGGGCGGTGATTTGACGTGGTAGAGGAGGAGGTGTGATTAACAGGAGGAGGAAAGGAACTGGTGGTAGGAATCTTGGGCAGATTAGAAGGATATGAATCAGGCTCTGTCACATCCTCCTCAAATGGCTCTGAATAAAAAGAGAAAGGGGCAATTTAATAAAGATGAATCATGTTTTACACTTCCAAATGACACAATACATTGCCTGGTAGTCTTCAAACAGTGGTTGTGGTCACAGCTGATTGTGTTTCAAGACAAAAACTATTTATTTCAGGAGACTATGTTGTTTTTGACTGAATTTACTAATCTGAATGATGGTGTTGACTCACGTAACTGTAGTTAAGTCACTGACCAACCAATGCTGTTGTGCTTTTAAGTTGCACACTAGCTCACATCTCTGTCGTAGAGCGTTTAATAGTTATATTAGCCATTTCACAAAATTAGCTTACTGGAAAATTTGTCATTTAGTTAGAAAGTCATGTCAATGCAAATGTTGCTAAAGCTCAGCCACCATTTGGTCCCATAGGAATCAGCTTTGGCCCAAATAAGGACAAAAGATTTTGTGGTTTTAATGGTGTAGACTCCAGTTTGCAGCCCTGTCTAATTTTTTACCAGTGTCTGTCCTTGAACCAGACCAGTGTATTGGTGTTACACTTGATCAGCCACAAGTGCATGTTCCAGATCAAGCCATTTCAGCCACCTAAGTACAGTGTGATTACTAAGCACTTTGCTGATTCTTATCACAGCACAACTGACTTTTTAAATAGACAGAGGACAGTTTAATTAGCCACAATAGTCTTGGAGACCAGCAGAGAAGTCCGCTATCTGACTTTCAATCAGACAGGCATAAATCCTGTGTTCACAGGAGATAATGAAACCTTGTTTCTGTTTGATGCATTGATCTGTTTCAGGCTGTAAACAGGAGGATAGTACAAACAAAACAATAAATGGAGGAAAATGTACATTTTTTTCCAGTAAACGCTTCCTAATTCTGAATCTGATCAACTTTAATATTATTTATAAAGGCATAAAGAATAACCTATACAGCATCTATGTTTCATGGCAGGCCTACTTATTTGTAAAATGCCATGTTTAAGGACAACTTTTGACTGATTCAGGTAAAGATTGATTACATTATTTTTCTGTTGAATCCCTGTCAGTGACTGGAGAGCTCCTTGGCTGTCAAAAATTCTAACCTTAAGTTACTTAAACACACACAGCTAGGACACACTTCATATTAAATGCCATTCTGTCTAGAGACTGTCACGGGACGTCTGGAGACAAATCTAGCTCATCAGATTTCCGGGTTTCACTTCACTTCACTTTTCCTTTGAACATTTAAGAAAACTTACTGCACTGTTTTTCAAAGTGTATTTAGCCACGGTTTAGGTGAAGCCAAATTTCTATTGGACCTTCAGGACAGTTCTAAATATAGTTGCTAGGATGTTTGTGAGGCAAGTGCAAAGCCAGCAAAGTCAGAGTTCCAGAAGCACATGGGATCTCACTAAAGACAAAAAAACCCACTTCAATTTAGTGTCCTACCAGAGAGGAAGGATATCTCACTGATGAGCAGCCAGCGGTCAGCGAAGTAGAATGTGCAGCGAAGGATCTGAGCCAGGCGCCCTCCCAGTGGAAGGGAGATGGGTCGGGAGGAGGGGTCCTTCAGATCTTCCAGGGGCACAAGCAGGGTGAGGGCAGGAGAAGCCCAGGGCTGGAGGATGCCCGGCTTAAAAAGACAATCCACCTTGCTGAAGACTCGCACACCCTGGGTGTGAAGGTTGTTACTGTGCACCTACAAAAAGGAGACAAGTGTGTCAGTGCAGTGAAAGTAAAAGAAAAAGGACAGATATTGCAGGGTATGCTTGTAATCAGAAAATAATCTACACATCTGAATTAGCTCAACCTTCGTGCAAATATCTGAAAAACTCAGGGAAAAATGAAGGGCTTAGCCATTCACCATTTTAGGAGAGGCATAGAGAAATTCAATTAACACAAAATTAATGACACAATCTAATCCTGCTCAGGCATAATTGCTTTGGCACAACTCGAGCTTAGTTGAGCAGGGCTACAAATGAACAAAATTAGAACATGGAAGAGAAGAGACTGGATGTAGGAAAAGAACATGTGTGACAGAAGACAGATGGAGGAGAGCAGAAGATATATTTGTCCAGTTTTTACAAGCAGGAAAAGGCCAGAGAGAGGAATCCATAAAAGCTGATCTAATACATGAGGCGTCAGTGTGGCTGGGAGGAGGAGGAGGAACTAAAGGAGAGGATATGGAGGAAGACTGAGGGGGTTTAAAAGCATAAGTGAGCAGTCAAAACTATAGATGTGAGAAATAGAAAGTATAGGATGAGATGATGGGAGATGGCACAAAAGGCTAACAGGTTAGCTAAACTCACACCCACTGCAGGGGGTGTGCAGGGCAGGCAGACACACACACACACACACACACACACACACGTTTGTTTTCATTCCTAGTGGAACTTTACATTGACTTACATTAATTTCCTGGAGAGCTGACCTAACTAACTATCACCACTACCAGCCTAACCCTAACCTTAAGCCATGCCGTCACTCTAAAATTCAAAGATGAGACCGGCATCTGGATCCTGTGAGGAAGGCAAAGTCCCCAAAATGTGAGTGTGTAAACAGGATTCAGTCACCACAGTGTGAGAAATACTGGGCGCACACACACATCCACAAAATTCAGGAAGAACAGCTGCACCAAATGCTGTAACTGATTCTATCTGGAACGGAACAAAATGGGATGTGGGGGAATTTACTACTGTATATTGTTGGTGGTGGGGGTCTAGTCTAATAAGTCAACACAACCAAGGTAACTCACTACTCCTTTTGGGAATACAGCTCCAATGATCTGCACAAAGCTTATCTTGAGAGCATAACACTGTATACATTATGTTTTGCTTATTGCATCATAAATCTAGGCTACATTGCAAATTCCCTCTGTTTATTTCTCCTGTCTTCTGCATAAGATTACAAATAAAAGCTTGACATAAATTTCCTAATGACAGAGCTATTTTTACAAAGGCAGATCAGAGTGTCAGCACAGCCTCTTAAAGGTCCTGCAGGAAGTACAGGTTATAATTGACAAAATATTAAAGAGCAGATTTCCCTTTGGAAGTCTGATTAGTTGCAGGTCAAAGAACTCTGGTCCGCAGAAATGAGCCAGAATTAGGTTCAGGTTCCCACTGTTTATTTATTTGACCTGTGTGTCTGACATATCCACTATGCCAGGCCAAAATGCCTGTGCATGTCAGCTGAGGTCACTGTAGTAAAAGCACTGAGGAAAATGCAGGGAAAACAGGATTAACTTAGGTAAAGCACTGGGAAACCCACTGGGAACAATTTTAAAAGGCAACCAATAAACACTAGAATAACAATAAGGACTGAAGACACTGAAATTCTGAAACTCATTCAAAACTAGACCTCTTAGAGATTACTTATCTACACTCACTGGGGATTCATGCTGCTTATTATGCCCGTGCATGGGTGAATCCAACCCAAACCAAAATTCCAAAGCATGCCCAATGAGAGAAAACAGTTATAATTTAAACTGGGCTGCTTCATATTATTATCCTCCCTGTTGCTCCACAGACTAACCGCAAAAGCCATACAGACGCCCAACAGACTGTGATGCAGCTCGGTAGCACCCAGACAACCGAGTGCAGATGCACTGTCCCATGCTAAACAATGGCACATTAAAACTAATTAAATGGCTGCAAAGCTATTCCAGTAAATGCTGCTTTCTGGTGAAATGGCAGATTAACAGAGATATGTCTGTTAACAAAAGAAGAGGTAAACAAACATAACTGTGCTGCTGGAGGTCATGATGGTTGGAGCTGCAGGAATTTCATCAGATGCATAAAGAAACAATGCGCCTCATGTTCTGCCACAATCCCAGTGACATGTCTGCCTTGAGAGACAGACGAGGAATCTGACTTTCAGGTAGCCTGATGCTGTCCAAGATTCCAGTGGGACAGCAACATTCTCCATAGCCCTCTCAAATTAAACACCACATGCACTATCACACACCCAAACATCCACTGCCTACCTGCATGTTGTGGAAGACCCGTGGTTTCTCAAAGTGGAACTCAATGTCCACGCTGCCTTGTCCAAGGGCTTCCCGGCTCCAGCCCACATAGTCGTAACCGGGCCACACCCTCAGCTCCTTAGTTTGTATGAAGTCGTCTCCACCCAGGACGCCATCACACAGCTGACCCAGGCCTCCAAACTGCACCCTGAACTCACACAGCATGGTACAGGTTAATATGCAGCTCTGCACAGAAATAATGCTAGACGCTGCAGACCGCCGGTCACTTTCTATTTACAAACACATTACAACCAGCATGCAAAGATGTATAAATATAGAAATAAATCCCTGCCAAAACATTTGAGGGCACACAAACCACATTTCAAGCACTAGTCAGTTTGGAACTCAGTATCTGAGCGTGCGCAGACAGATTTGAGAGTGTAATCCTGGCCATGCACGTACTCGTTTCTGAGTCTGCGCTCTCAAATTATTGCACTGGGGTGTTTGCTGTATTGTGCTGTACAGAAATAAGAAGGCGGCACAGATTTGTTGGAGCAGAATCAGATTTGAGGGCGAGAGAGGACTTGATCATAAGTGCAAATCTGATTCTGCGCTTACAAATCAATGCCTGCACACTAAAATGCTGAGTTGCAAACTGAGTACTGCTTGAAATGTGGTTTGTCCTTCTTCAAAATTTTTGGCAGGGATTTACTTCCATACATAAATAAGAATATATACACAGATGCACATGCAAACAAGATGGGGGCGTGCACGTGCAAACACACACACACACACAGCTTCTCTGTCATGTACAAACACCCATATTGATAAAAATAAAGCAACAATACAAGATCATTAAATAGGTCCACAAACTCCCAGCCCTCTGAGTCTCTCCCTCACACATGCACGAGTCTGCTACAAACACATCTGACTTATATCAAGAGTGTTAGCTCTCCTGTTAGCAAAACAGTTCAGCCCCATTAACCCCACAGCCCATGTAACAGTGAACACCATCCCCAGTCATGGGTCACCCCTCCTCCTTTGCTCACTGCCAAATCATTACGGCCAGGAAACAAGTTTCGAATCCCTGAGCAGCTAAAAAATATAATGTTATTCCCTTAATATTAGGACGACACCAGAATAAACCTTCTATAAAGGATTTGGCTGAGACCACATCTCAGGCCTAACAGATGTGATGAGCGCCGCGGAGAAGCTTTTGGTATTTCATTGATCGAGTCACATTTCACTCCACATTGTTTAGCACAACATTAATCTTGATCATGATCACATTTGTCAAAGCTGTGTAGTAAATACAATCCAAAAGAGCAATTTATAGGAACCTATGGGAATAAGACACTTAAAATATAAACTTACATAAAAATTAAAAATGGTACAGAAGCCTTGAGCGGCTGAGTGTCTTACCCCTGCTCAGTGCTCCCATCGTAGGTGGAGTCATTTAGATAGACGGGCATGCCTGGCAGTTGCATGACATGACCAACTGGAGCTGTGTAAGCCTTCAACCCATCTGAATGACAAAGGAGGATGAAAAATACTGAATATTAGTCATGTGACTGTTGGACAAAACATGTTTTGTAGTTTTCTGTTTAAGCGGCAGTCGTGCAATACTGCATGTGAAACTTTTTTAATTTGTAGCGCTTTTCATTTTCATTATGAACGCATTGACTGAGCCAAGATTCTACAGTAATCACTGCCATGGGGAAATGACTACAGCTGGTTTTTAAGTAGAAAAACAAACTAAGAGGTCCGCTGCTCTGGCCTGCTCAGCCCGAGCCACTGTTAACTGGTGAAACTAGAAGCCTCCCTGCACTGTTATACAGCTAATCAGCCTGCACCACGAGAACAGAGGTGAGGTCAGCAACATGGACTACTGCTCTGCTGCTCAAAATAAACAATGCGTCACATAGGATTTGCAGAACGTGTGTAGTATGCTCTATTTGCATATTAATGAGTGTTTGCAGACGTGGTTATCCACTTAGCTGTCTTTATCATATATGTGATGCTTGAGTGAGTCCACACTGAAGATAAAACAAACACAGGAAAGACACTTTGTGCCACTATAATACAACCTGATATGGGATTTTAGAGACCAAATGTACATAAAACTTTATTTTCTGTAGGTTCCGCATAATATCTGGTTTGTAGATGAACCGAGCTGCAGTGCTCAGAATCCACATTAGAGCATATTTTTTGAGAGATGGCCCCCTGAAGACTCAGAGCTTTTAGCCTCAGCGACAGCTCTGATTTATAAGCAGCCCAATGCTGTGTGAGGGAGGTAGCGAGGCAGGAGATGAGGTGAGCCAGTCATAAATATAGAGTTCGTCAGTGCTGTACTTCAGGAAACATGGAGACCAACACCATTTATCACCGTGTGGTTCCTTTTATCCAGCCAAACCCCAATGAGGCAGTAAATCTGATGTGATGCCTCATACTGATGCACAGGATGTATGCTGACAACATGCACTCGCAATCATTAACATTGAACAAATTCCACCTCTTCCATCTGATACAAGAGAAATCCTTGGACGACAGTGAACTCGGTCACCTTCACCAACTCGAATGATTTATCAAGATCTGGAGTGCATGCCTCAGAATATATGGGCCGAGTGAATACCCAAGGACAAAAGCAGGAACATTTTGCATCTCTGTAGTCTCTTCATGTCTTTCACCTCCACAAACACACACACAGACACACATACTTACCATCCCATACACAACCATAGAGCTCCACCCGAAGGCAAACACTCATAACCCGGTCAGCCAGGGGGTAGAAGCGCACCATGCGCGCCACGATCGGAGGGCCCAAGTCTTTCAGCACAATATCATAGGTGTTCTTATTACCTGACACTACCTAGGGAAGAAAAGCAGACATATTCAGTCACAAAGCACACACTCAGTGCTTGTCTTCCCTGTTAACTGTAGGGCTGAACGAATCTCGCCTGAAGGCTTTGACTTTATATCCAGTGTGGGTCACCAAATTCTAATAATCTAAGACTGAACTGAACTTTTTCTTAAATACACACAGGTCTAAAGAGGGAGTGATGTTAGAGTGTGAGCCTCAGGTACAGTTTTTGTAGGAGCAGCAGTTAAGGCATAGATTTACAGCGACTTGCAAGTTTAGAATATTTGCTGTGAGGCAATGTTTTACAATAATAAGTGAAAGGGGAAAACTAACAGTATGACTGATTGTCTAAATATCACAATGCGGAACTGCTCAGCAATACAAGGTGCCTTTAACTGTGCAAGGTTAATTGCATAGTGTTGAAAACTCAGGCGGCAAAGGCTGCTTTTACCTGAACAGAAAAGTTAACAGATAAAGTTTAACTAAATAAATCAATGTAGATAATTCATTTAGCCATCTATGGTCAACATTTCATTTATACTCCACAGTCACAGGATATTGAGCCAGTTCCCATCAATAATGGAGAGCCATTTCTCCCAAAGTTCACGTTAAAACTCTTGCTTGGCTTCATTTGTGGACACACATTAAGTGAGACAGTATATAGGCTCCAGACTTGCTAAATAAACAATATCCAGCTTACTTCCTGGCCCCAGCGGTCCTTCCAGGTGATCCATTTCATTCCATCTCGAGAGTAGCGGAGCCGATAACTGCGGGCAAACTCCTGGCCGTGCCCATCGGCGTGACGACCTTGGGTACCAACCAAAGCCAGGAAGTGAAGTCTTCGCAGGTCAATCTAGAGGAGACAGGTAATGCATTATCAAAACACACATCATTCACTAAAATGCAGACAAACAGATGGAGATGCAGATAAAATAATGACACTGAGAAGCAGCCGAGTGTGTTACACATCTAAATGTCAAGTAGATTTAATAAAAGAGCAAATCAATAGTTCAGGAAATATGTGTATTTGCCTTCATGTCAGGAGTTAGATGAGAGGATTGATCTAACTTAAGTCTATATCTGGCATAAAGGAAACATGGGGAACACTAACATTTTGTACATATTAAACAAATGAAATCAAAGGTGTTATAGTGAGCGTTCGAGGTGGTCACAGGCAGGTTCTTACCTTTGGACAGAGCTAGCCTAGTTGTTTCTAGTTTGTGTGCATAGATAAGCTAAACACTTGCAGGTTGCAGTTTCAGTTAGGGGACAGACTTGGGCTTGTCCAACTCTCAACAATGTTACTTGAAACAATACGGCTGATAATATGGCTGACATAAAACGCTAAGAAAGTTATAAAAGGTTCAAGGGTCGTCTTTATTTCTAGTCAACCAAAGGTGACAGGAATTTATCATAATCTTACAGGACAGTTAACAACAGACAGCCATCACATTCAACTGAATAACAACACATTTAACACAAGAACAATCAGATAAGAATAAAATACAAAATGCTAATAGTACAAAATAAAATGGCGTAAATACAAGGGACCTTAAAACCTAAGAGTTTACAACACAGATCGATTGTGGGTCTATACTGTTTATTAACCTCTGTCCTAAAGTGTTATTGTTTAAACCTTTTCCCTGGTGGCAAATATTTTAAAAGGGGAAAATCTGGATATAAACCGTCATTTGTGCTTTTCAATGTTTTCTGTCCAAGATGTGATTCATAAATTGAGCTGAGAGAAGGTAATGGACCACCTACTATTCTAGAAGCAGGTTTAACTACTTTATCCAACTTTTTTTTCCATGTTCTCCAAAGACAGATTACCAAACCAGACAACAATGGAAGAGATGTTCCAAATTTCTACAACTGCTGCAGATGTTTTAATGAATCCCTTTATTTCCCCATCTGAGATTAGAGGATATGACCGTGCCAAAAAATTTAAAAAATAAATAACCCTATCCACAGCACTACCCTTGATGGTTTTAATGGATGATGTGAGTCCTTTACCTTCCTTATACGTAATACCATCTCCTCTATTCAGTGAAGCATTAACTTGACAATCATTAAACCACCCTGACAGTCAAATGCTATTCTGTCTACACATAGTACCGTGGTTGTACAGACTACTAATACCTGCAAGTCAGAAACTAAATAAGAAACAAAAATAAACTACGTATCTGACCTGAAGGTATTCTGATCCACTGGGGAAAACGGCACCTGCAGGACACCATGCTCCATCCCCCTCTCCAGTACTCAATCTGAGAGAAACAAAGATTTATTTATGTTAGATAACAAAATATCAAAAACATCAAGTGAAAGGTTCACCAAATCCTAGTCCCACACTCACACATTCAGACAGAACCGCTCCCACAACAAGATTGACACATCAAAACCCACAGCACTGGCAGCAAGCAGAGGTACAACAGAGAAGTCAACGCAAACAGTCCAACCCTGCCCTAGAACTGTACATACTAGATTTCACAGCAGCCAAATAAGAGAGAGACTCCGGACAGATGGAAAATAAAGAGAAAACATGAGGTCCATAAAGAAAGGAAATGAGATGAAAGGAGTTGGGTGAAAATCATTGGCTCTTCCACATTCCTCAAACCTCACAACAAGATCTGGTGTAAAACGTCTGGATTGATTTTATACCCACTGCTCCTCAGGCCTGCCATGACCACACACACGCCACTAAAGGATTTTTATTCAGCATGACCTTCTTCAATCCAGCCTGAGAATAAAAGTCCATGCTGTCACCACACACTGGCCAGATGAAGACCACAGCCTTTGTCGTGTGTGTCTATGACAATAGGATTGACAAATTTGAGGGTTCTGGACCAGACACCAAGCCGCAACCACACTCTGACCACTGTGGGATTTTTCCTCAAAATGCACACCGCTGCTCAGGCCACTAAAAAAAACAAACCAAAACCTCACTATGTAAACTTGGTCACCCTGACAGTGGAGCTAGTATTTTTAATTAGTCTGGTTCTCCCCTTGGAGGGTGAGACTATGCAGCTGGACACCACGTAATGACATCAGCACATCTTGGCTCCACAAAGTGTCCTGTGATGGTGAGAGGTGGAGGAAGAAGAGGATGAAGAGGAATGTGGCTGGGGAGAGTTCAGTGCACCATTCACCAGCCAGCAGGCTCAACAATATGGAGCATTGCTCTGCCAAGTAGCTCATTTTTCTCCCTTTGTCTTTTGCTTACTAGCCAACAGCTCATTCCTCACTGGGTTTTCAGCTCTGTTATTCCAAAAGCCCGTCTTTTTTTCACTCCTTCACACCAGGGGTGAATCTAGAGAATATTGGATGGGGTGGCCAGACTGGGGCACAAACTCAGAGAGGGGTGGCACATCTAAATACAGGTAAAAAGTCATTTAAACACTTAGTTCTGTTAAATAATAAACCATACTCTATTAAGAACCAAATAGTTTATTTTATGTAATAATGAGCCACACACAGCTTTCTTTAGGTAACTTAGGCTGCACTCCCGGGTGAGGACATCGCTGCTGAACAGTGCCACCAATGGCCCCACCCGGGCTTTCACGCTAATGTGCTGATATTTCACTGCGCCACATTAATAACATGAAAAAAAACCTGCTACCAGCTGTGCACCTTCTACATCCTCCCTCTAACCTTGTTTTAAACTCCATTTCACTCCAGCTTTCAGCGCGCTATTGCAGCGATCCACCACTGGCTTGTTCTTTTTTTGCTTGTTTTCTGTTTCCTCTCTTTCTCTTAGTGTCTCCCCAGTGTCTCTTAAAAAGTGCTACAGCTAATAATAATTTCCACATGGTTAGACACTCAGCCAATAAACCCAGCCCAACAACCCAGTGAAGACAAATGAACGCAAACAATCCTGTGAAAGCTCTTGTACATGGCTTTAGCATGTTGCAGGCCAGACTTTGCTCTCAGAAATATCACCTTGCTGCCAGATCGACAAGACTGTAATGTATTACCAGGTAGGTTTTAAAAAGACACACACTATCATCTGCGATCATAATCTAATACACCCTGACAAATTACTTCAACATGGTGCCAACACTGAAAAAGAGGCAAGCGGAGGAACACATCAGCCCACGGTGACATACGTGCATGAACACCAAAAGTATTTAACATACAAAGATCATGTGCACTGAAGAAGAGTAAACTGACAATATACTGATACTGTACAATAACTGTTATTTTACAGGCCTCTTACTAAAAGTTACTAGTCACAAGAAATGACCGTAGATTAGAGTATGGATCAGGTCGCATAGTTCTGTCTGAACCCGGCCCAAACCCCTTGGGTACCGACAGGTCCTGTCGGGCTCAGTTTGGGTATCCACACCATCTTCCTTCTATCCAAAGACTCACTTAAAAAGAAAACATTCAAACCAAATTTACAAAGCTGTACCTGTGGTTTTGCATGTTTCAGTCCATTTACCAATGATATACACTTTACATTGTAACTAATCATTTTGCTCCATCCTTTTACGGTTTTGGAAATGTGAACAACTAATGAACTAAATAATAACGTAATACTAATGTTCCAGGCATCTGTTGGTTTCGTCTGATTTCTCTATAGTGTGAAAATCAACCGACACACTCTTGAAACGTATGAGTTCTGTAATCCACCACCATGACCACCAGCTCTGTATTAATTTGTGTCAATGTTACATCACCCTTTCAGCCGCCTGCACCACATTATCTCATAACAACAAACGAGTGCCTAGAATAATAGGAACAATTACTTTTGAAACCTATTACTGTATGGCACACATCCAATAATGGTCAGCGAAAACGTACACCACTGTGCTATTGTCCTTTAAATGAAATATGATCTTAATTGCAAGAAAACTGTTGGCTCTGCAGTTCTTAACTTCTCAAAGTAACAGAA